AAAAAGACCAAGAAAGCAACACTATAAACAATAATATCCTAAAATTAATAAATGAAAGAGAAAAACTTAAGAACACATGGCCACGCTCAGACATAGAGAAAAAAAGGCTAAAGAAACTTTATAGAAAAATAAAGAAAAAAATAATTGAAAGGAAAAATAAAATAAAAATGAAATTGATTGAAAGTGAATTGGAAACAAGAGGCTCTACTAAAAACAGCCAGAAAAGCCACAAAAAAGAATGGATGCACTCAATAAAAACAAAATCAGGAGAAACTATAACAAATCGACAAAGCATCCTTCTATCAGCTACTGACTTTTATAAAAAATTATATTCGGAAAACCAACAAACGAACCCAGTCGACTTAAATATAAACCAGATACACGATCAAGAACAGGTCCCTTGCTTTTTACTAGATGAAGTCGAAAGCGCTATCTCAAGAATGAAGAAAAATAAATCACCCGGCGAAGATGGCATCACCACAGACATGTTAATAGCAACGGCAGAACAATTGGCACCACACCTGACTAATATTTTTAATAAAATACTTGAAAGAGAAAAAATACCCGATCATTGGACACATTCAATAATAACACTCATATACAAGAAAGGAGACTCCAAACTAATAGATAATTACCGCCCAATCAGCTTACTACCAACTTTATACAAACTTTTCTCATCACTCTTACTCTTCCGAATCAGTAAAAGCTTAGACGAACAGCAACCACGAGAGCAAGCCGGATTTAGGAAAGGATTTTCAACTGTTGACCATATCTTTACATTGACACAGTGCATTGAAAAGTGCAGAGAATATAACAAACCTATCTACTTGGCATTCGTTGATTATACTAAAGCGTTTGATTCGATTTTACAAACACATTTATGGAAAGCATTAAAAGAACAAGGAATAAATAATAAAATTATTAGAATATTAAAACTTATATATGACGACTATAACGCCAAAATAAAACTAGAGAGTTATGGGCCACTATTTCGAATTAAACGTGGAGTCAAACAAGGCGACCCTATCTCACCAAAACTTTTACAGCTCTATTAGAATCAATGTTCAGGAAACTACATTGGGCAAATTGTGGACTTAACATAAATGGAGAATTCCTGTCACATCTACGCTTTGCCGATGACATAGTAATACTGTCAAATACTCATGAAAACCTACAAATCATGCTTTCAACACTAAACACTGTAAGTAAAAATATAGGCTTACAAATGAACATGACAAAAACCAAAATTATGACCAATGACGACCGCATAATTACAACAATAGAGTCATGTGAAATAGAGTATGTAAATGAATACATTTATTTAGGCCAACTCATTTCCCTGGACGATCTCACAGAAAAAGAGCTAAGTCGACGAATCGCCATCTCATGGAAAAAATTCTGGGCAAACAAAGATATATTCAAAAACAAAAAAATACCAATTCACTTAAAGAAAAAACTGTATGACAGCACGATTCTACCATGCCTATTATACGGCTGCCAGACATGGTCTCTAACAAAAAAACAAATAAAAAAACTGTCAGTATTCCAAAGAGCAACAGAGAGATCGATGCTGGGTGTAAGACTAAGTGATAGAGTAAAAAATATAGAGATCCGGAAACAAACCAACTTAATAGATGCTGCCGAAATGTACTGCAAACTCAAATGGAAATGGGCAGGACACATAACAAGAGTAAATGACGGAAGATGGAGCGAACGCGTACTTCATTGGTATCCCAGAGACGGCCGAAGGAACAAAGGTCATCCCGTTATGAGATGGAGAGATGAGATACATGACATGGCCGGCAACACCTGGACAAGGGACGCTCAGAACCGACACAGATGGCAAAATATGGAGGAGGCCTTTACCCATAACCGGGTACCCAACTAAATAAACAATTAGTTATTTAATATACTATTAAATATAATACTAACAATAAATTAAGAAAACTAAATACTAACACAGCTAAAGTAATGTTATTTAAGGTTGGCAATAAAAGGCTTTTGAATTTGAATTTGAATTTGAATCTTAGGTGGTGGATTATGGATTGAGATAGGTTATTGGGTTCAGGCGCTAGTGGTTCCAGCTCGCGACTCTCATCCCTGAGGTCGTCGCGTCGGTTCGATCCCGGCTGTGCCAAAGGAATTTCTTTCTATGTGCACATTTAAATTTCTCTCGAACGGTGAAGGAAAACATCGTGAGGAAACCGGTTTGCTTTGACCCAAAAAGTCAACAGTGTGTGTCAGGAACCACAGGCTGGTCACCTACTTGTCTATTAGATTGACAAATGAAACGAATACAGAAACCTGAGGCCCTGACTTAAAAAGGTACCGCCATTGATTTATTTATTTTATATCTTATATCTTTCAATATCATATTATCCCAAAAATAATATATGTTTTAAAAATAATGTTTAGAACTAATTATTTAATTATGTCGCCACTAATGCATTGCATACTCCATAATGATATCTTAAATATGCCTTGTCCAATATTGCAAATTATTCTAAGTTATAATTGCTTCCGGTATACAGGCATAGCTACGTTATGATAACATAGTTTAGATATCAGCAACCCAATAACGCTTGTATTATGTTATCTAAGAAGGTAGGGCGCCCCTAAGCTATAAACATACTATATAGTATATATATTAGGTAAACATTGGGTCATGTAAGCTCACGTGCTTTGAGCCGAAACTCATCGATATTTAGCTAGAGTGATTGATCGATGACGCTGAAGTTCTAGGCATATTTGCTATTTATCATTTTGTATACGAGATTATTTAATAAAACATCCTTCCTTTGTCGTTATTACTTTTAGTGCCTAATGATATTGAATTTAAAAGAATTCGAATGGACCGAGTTTCTTTTGTTTTTTTTTTTCAAGTATAAGCAGACGGGCAGGGTCATCTGATGGTAAGTGATACCGCCGCCCATGGACACTCATTGCTAAGAGGACTTGCGAGTGCGTAGCCTCTTAATGGTACGCTTGGTACGCTTTTTTCTTGAAGGACCCTAAGTAGAATAGGTTTGGAAATACTTCAGTGCGGTAGCTGGTTCCACATATTGGTGCACGGCAAAAACTGAAAACGCCCAGCTGTGGAACGCACGTCGTCATGTTTTTCGTAGTGCAATTCAGTTTTTAATTCTCTTAAAAGAAGAATTGGTTGCATAAATGTGTTTATTAAGAAAGATAATGCTATTATTGTACTTCCATTACTTTAAAAAAAACGGTAAATAAATAAATCGCAAATAAATTGCAAAGAAAATATGACATTCAGATTTTACAATTATAAAAAAGACCGCATAATCAGCCATATAATAATAGGCATGTCATATTAATTATCATTATGTCATAAGAACAGTTATTTTATAATTTTTGTCAAAAGGTATGATCTAATTACTCTCCTACGCTATAATAAGTGTAACACAGTGATCTATAACTTCTAGGAAAGTGATTAAATAGTTTGATAGCCATAGCGTAACAATTTTTGAATACTACGTGGTACAACATGCAGGTTGCTACATTCGTGTTGGAACTCTCGGTAGATAGCTACATTCCAGATGAACGAGCTCCTAGCAATATATACCACAATGCCTATTAATCTTGTTTCAGTTGCTATTTTCTCTATAAACCAGTACGTACCAGTACGTCACGTCGTAGCGCATTGGATGTTACAGTGCATCGCTCTCGACGTTTTTGTATGCAATTTAAAAATAGATTTTTTCAATATCCGTAGCCCTTAGGTTGCAATCAGGGGATACAAAAACTTAAAATTAAGGCTTGCTATTGTAAATATAGCGTAGTACGGAAAAAAATAATAAGTGCACTTCGACGACGAAAACTTCGAAACCGGAGCGGTTTATATTTTTTTAAATGGGTGGCAAACGAGCTCAACCGATACCGACACCCATGGACACTCACTGAAGGCTTGCAAGTGCGTTGCCGGCCTTTTAAGAATTGGTTCGTTCTTTCCTTGAATGACCCTAAGTCAATTGGTTCAAAAAAACTTCAGTGGGCAGCTGAAAGACGGACGTCGAGTTGATACGGATGGGATTTTGTACCTTGACGTCCGATGTTGAAATTCAGCTGCTTGCTGAACACACCAAGCTTCTTAGTCTAATCTAGCCTTCCCTTCCAAATGACCGCGAAACTGAACCTAACTGAAAAATAACTGTAAATTCACACACAATCAAAATAAATACTTAAAAATGCAAATGGATTAACATATTTCATTAAGCGTTGACTTATTATTTAATCAGTCGTGACATGAAGTGTTGCGGATGACCTCGTTTGTAATTAATTGTTACTCGGGTTTAAGTCGGGGTTGGCTCATTAATTTTATAATTTAACTTTTATAAACATTTTTCGATACCCTTGCTAAGGAACATTTCAATTAGATGAAACTCAACTTAAAAAGGAAAAAGGGACAAAGTAATTAAACATCTTTTATTGCTCAGAAAAAGATTAAAACGTTGGAAATCTTTATACCCGCTTTAGAATTTTGTTTAATTTATGTATATACACAGCGCGGAAACCTCGTTAACGTAAGATTTTATAAATAACCTTCACAGAAAAAGAATATTTATTTATTACTGATTTTTACGACTGTGTAAAAGTTACAGAAGAATAAAATAAGATGAAAATGTTTATGAAAAACCCATCCTGATTAATAAAATACGTTTATTTGTGTTTTATTCATGGCTAGACTTTTTCTTCTAACTTTATAACATTATTAATCAATTTTTTTTAAATCAAAACAATGGGTAACTGTAAGTAGTCTAAGCTTACTTAAGACTAGCGATGAAATACGTTTCATCAGTCATGGTTCGTTTTTATATGATAATTTATGTAAGACACTATAATACGAAAAAAAAATAATAAAGCGCCTCCATTATAAATGTATCAAATAGCATGGTAGCCGTCTCCATACCATGTGGAGAAAAAATACAAAAATACCAACCATTTTGCAGCCTTTAATTCCTTCCAATAAGTCCTTTTTCCTAGATCTTTCTTATCATAAATAGCTGATGTGGAAACAGCATTGTAGCACGTACGATGTACGCGATATTCGGTACAAATTGTATAAAGCCAATTCTTGAAAGGCAAGCAATGCACTCGCGAGCCCGCTGGCAATGTGAGTGTCCATGGGCGGCGGTTTTTTTTACATTGCGCATGGACGCCTGAAACTGCTTCCCCGCTTGGGCTCTTTTTAGGTGACGAGGATTTGGTGACTTTTTAGGTGGTTTCACGCATTTATGCGACAAGGCTGCTGTTTCTTTGACCGTCGCGGGGTCTTCGGTGCAAAGCTTCCTGGCCTTTTCCCCCTCTTCTTTTTTTTTGTTCATGACCGCATCGCTGTCCGCACCTAATATCGCTTTTACTACGTTTGGTTGGCTTGCGTCCTCACCCTGGAGTACATCCAGCAGAGGCCTTTCTGCCTCGCCTGCTGGGCAGTCCCTTAGCGTTTGCATGGCGTATGCTGTCTCCGTCACAGTGGTGGCTGGTTAGTGCCTTCTCACCTACTACACTGTGCAGATAACTACAGAAGCATCCATGTATCACTGACCAAATAATATATAAGAACACGTCAAAGAATATCGTGATAATTTAAACAGTATATTCAAAATATTACAAATCACATTATTAAAAAAAATTAGTGGCGCTACAACCTCTTTACTGGGATCTCTGAATCGGTTTCATGATAATTTTTCAATCTAATAAGCAAGTAGGTGATCAGCCTGCAGTGCCTGACACACGCCGTCGACTTTTTGGGTCTAAGGCAATCCGGTTTCCTCAAGATGTTTTCCTTCACCGTTCGAGCGAATGAAAGAAAGTCCAATGGTGCACTGCCGGGGATCGAATCTACGACCTAAGGGATGAGATTCGCACGCTGAAGCCACTAGGCTAACACTGCTCCACACTAGGCAATCACATCATTATATCTGTATAAATATCGTAGCTTTTATAAACACACCTCGTTTATCTAGACAGCCTTTATCAATTTAGTTAATTGATCAAAAACATGACTGTTGTTATTGTTAATTATACGTTGTCAAAGTCAAGTACTGAGGTATGTTTGCTCAGTAGAAATGGTTTCTCAATTAGGCAGTCATGACAGAGTGTAGATAAGACACGTTTCCTTCATCTAAATAGAATCCTGACACGTAACAATAGCACTTAAAGGCGACTTCAATCAATTGGTTCGTGATGTCTTGAATTCTCTTATGAGAACCGCAATGTACCAAACAATAAATGTTAGGAATTATTTAGTCTTTGCCAGTGCTACGCCGTAGCCCGTAGCTGGCATAATCAACAGTGCTTTCTATAAAAGTCAAATATCATTTATTCATATAGGTCACACATAACACAATGTACACTTATGAACTTACGCAATACGGAAGAGAAGAACTCGCAATAAACTGTCCGCCACTCTTTTTAATCGTCAAGCTTTTTGTTCTACACAACGTTTGTAAGGAGCTGCAACCACCATGTTCCACATGACATCTTAATTAATAAATAATAATAAAATAAATTAAAAGCAAAGATTCGTCCTCTATCAGCAGGAGGCATGGTGAAATAGGAGCACGCACTTACATTCTCATAAGCTTTACTATGCGCTTTGTTATTTTGATGATAAAAAATATTTAATAGTATTTTAATAAAATAAATCTTTGTTCAAATCTTTTAGTGAGCGATTTAGCTTAGTTGCTATAAGCGTGTAATTCTTAATGCTAAAGTTGTTTGAGCCACTTGCATCAATGGGATTTTCTGTGTTTGAACACTTAAATCAAAAGATATAGCATTTATTGCAATGCTCTGTCTTCGATTGTCCATTGGTTTAGTATGAATAACCTTCTACTTAATGCAAAAAAGACAAAATGCATTAAATTTTGTGCAAAAAATGCAAGGGTTATGGATACTAGACCAATTATAAACGGTGAGGAATTGAATCTGGATGATACAACTGTATTTCTCGGAATCACCATGGATTCAAAACTTCAGTGGTCCCCTCATATTAACGGATTGGCGAAGAGACTTAGTTCTGCAGCCTACGCGGTTAAAAAAATTCGCTCACTAACTGATGTCGATACAGCTAGACTTGTTTATTTTAGTTACTTTCATAGCTTAATGACTTATGGCTTATTATTATGGGGTCATGCTGCTGATGTCGAAACTATTTTCATCCTGCAGAAGAGGGCTATTCGTGCAATCTATAATTTAAAATGTAGGGAATCTCTTAGAGATAAATTCAAGGAAATTAATATACTTACCTTTCCCTCGCAATATATTTATGAAAATATTATGTATGTATACAAAAATAGTGATAAGTTTACTAGAATAGAACATACGCACAATGTTAATACACGGAACAAACGCAGGCTGCAATTTCCCCGTACTAGACTATCTAAAGTTAGTAATTCTTTTTTTGGGGAAAGGGATACTCTTCTTTAATAAAATCCCAGAGGCTCTTTTATCACTGCCTTTCAATAAATTTAAGAAATGTATTAAAGAAAAGCTGTGTAAAAAGGCTTACTATAAAGTCAACGATTATCTAGTTGATAAAAGGGCCTGGGACTAGTGCTAGACAGGCTACTTCTAATCAATTTGCGATATTTGTTTTAAATAAGTGTTGTTTGATGATTTGCTGTTTTAAAAGAGTACCGAGAGTTTTTTACGCCGGCTTTTTCTCTCGGCCTACACCCTCTGTCTTCTTTGCCGATGAGTAGGGATGCCTTCAAATTTAATGACGTGGAATAAGTGATACATGTATCTTATGTTCCATAATAAACACTATACTATTATGCATATCAAACAGTTAGATACTTAATAGATTCTTAATTTTACTAAGAAAAACTTTTTAATTAATCATCTATATCATAGATGTTAAAAAGATCTTGTACCAATCGATCAATTACGAGAAAAAAACAATGGCGAGCGACCACTAAAGATATAGAAATAATGGGGTGCTGGTTGCCTAGCAACGTATTAATAGAAGGAAAATTTTACTATAACAGGTTGACAAATGATTTAAGACATATTATTTCCAGTATATTCAAACATTTTATTCAAGACTACGTAACATTAATGCCGAGATCGTTCACTATTATATTGGAAATTACAGTTGCATTAATTTGTAAAATACAGATATTACTTTAAAAAGTTTATTTATTTTATTCAGGCTGAGCAGGTTATCCTAGAAGAACACGACTATTTTCGTTAAGGTCAATAGATTTTTCTATCTTTGTGCGCAATTATTTAATACAAATAAGATATCCAGCATGTCTTAAATTCACAAATTGACGTCAAGTAGCGAGTACCAGGTTATACAACTTATACATTAAAAAAACACATAAGTATACGTTATCAAATACAAAGGAATGCTTTTTTATCCTCATTGTCCTCAATCTTTCATCCATCAATTAATAGATTTATCACTAACCAGAATTCAAATTTGGAACTAAGTATTTTATTTTACATTTGATTTACCGTGACCTATAGCTGTAAATCTATTTTTCTATTTAAACTAATGGTCATGGTAGTGTGCGACAGAGATAACGATATCATAATTATCCGGTTGTCTCTTTCCTATCAATATTAATCGCCGGGCACTGTACCTATCCGAGGTCACCACCAAGGCTTCTAGCACACTTTAAAACACTTATCTATTTTTCAGGTGTCCGTGGCCTCCACAACCTAGATATAAACGTGCCAAATGCAGTACTCGTTGGTGAAACGGTGACGCTTGAATGTACCTGGCAATTAGAAGATGAGGAAGCCCTGTACAGTGTCAAATGGTATCGGGGAAGAGAAGAATTCTATAGATATATACCCAAAGAGCTTCCACACACAAGAGTATTTCCATTACCGGGTATCGAAGTTGATGTAAGTACTGAACTTTGCAGTTCGAGTTTACTTATCTTGAGAACTCCCAAGTTTCTTCACTCATGATGTTAACTGATTTCACTGTGCACTAATAAGCTCGTGAAAATATGCTAATTGGTTAGAGGTTAAACTAATTGTGTTGTTAAGGCAGTTGAAGTCTTGAATATTATTCCCAGGAATACTATTGTTTCGGTGTCTAGGAGGCTGTAGATATTATGTTGCCTTTAAATTTTAAAATAGAGGCCGCATCTTTTTCTGTGTGAATTAAAATAGTCAAAAAAGAATACATTATAGTCTATGTATGTTGTCTATATGGTACCATAATCTGTGGATTTATTACAAAAATTCTAAACTCGAATTGCCGTTACAAAACATAAATGTTTAATTTAATAAAGATTTGAAAAGAATTGAATAGTTTTTGTAACGCCAATATTATTTTCCTATTGTAACTTTTTATTTGGTTTTTGCTCGATTATGTTGATGAATGGTTCTAGCATAAAAGTGTTTTCCCGACGGTAAAAACTGAATAGTGAAAGCGGTTATATAACTTCCAATAGTACAACAAACAATTGAAAATGATTTGCGAAACTTTGTGGGAAATTCATAAAATGTACAAACATTTTACTAATCCGACTAACGATGCTTTTACAACAATATACCTAGACATTCTTTATCTTTTTTGTTAAAATAAACCAGCAAAAACTTATTAAGAATTTTTATTAACAGCCAAACAAAAGACGTACAAACAATAACTAAAAAAATAGTGTACACTGTTTATTCTGTTGAAATTGATTTCTCATGAAGTTTCTGAAGATTTAGTTTATTTATTTTACTTGGTAGTGTGTTGTTGATGTAAAACTTCTTTATCGAGGTTGGAAAAAAATGTAGTGTAACATTTTTTCGTTACGCGTCACATTTTTCGGTTACGCGCCATGTTGCTTTTTGAAGTCAAACTTCTTTATCGGCGTTGGAATGAAACTTCTTTATCGACGTATGGGAGAAATTTTGAAGCAAATCGTCATGTTTTTCAATGATAGTAATAATTCTATTACAATTAATGAAATTCTATAATAATCTTCGTAGTAATAAGGTAAAATGAAATATTTGTATTCATGTCTATGATAATAAAAGCCTTTTGTTAAACTTTATCTAATTTTACGAATTTCTGTAAAGTTGCATATAGTAGATCATTTTTCGAAAAATGAGATCATAAAGAAGTTTCACTTCTTACGTGTGTACACGCACAATTTATTTTTCTATATTATTTGGCATTTATGCGTCTGAAACTGAAAGTTATTATGATAAATATAATTAAAACTTAATATAACTAAGTATTTACAATATTCTTAACCTACACAATATAATAATAATCAAAATATATAATTAATTTTCAATTAAAAATGAATAAATAGCAAATTTAAAAATTTTGGTCCCTGTAGCAGTGTACCTTTAACGCTGGCAGTATTTCCTCGCTGTATTGCGATACTTATTCGTTGAGTGAGGAAAGCGCCAGCTCTTGGGTGATCGGTACTATCTATCAGGCGCAAACTTAAATCTTTAATTATCTGTGCACTTGTACCTCACAAGGCACACGAGTCTGTACTCCAAAGGGTACAAAATCGAAGTTGGAGGAAAGGCTCTTGGTATGGTATAATTTTTTAACGCCATTGTTAGTGCGCATATATAAAAATTATAATGATGATTTAAAAAATGTATATCGAATATGATTCTTATATTAATACTGGTCTGAGTTGTTTTAGGGTTTTAGATTATTATTATTACCAAAGTTTTGAATGGTGATTAAAACTTTATAGTGAAACATTTTATATACATAACTTCTCCTGGCATAACTTAAACCTAAATCAACAAACCTTATTCAAATCAAAATATAATTTGTTCGTTAACATTTAGTTTTTTACAGCGAACCAATTTCAAATAATAATAAGTAGACTTATTTACATATGTTTATATATGTAAACTAACTACTACTAAACTAACAAATTTTAAAACAGTTCGAAAATAAAATATCGTACATTCAGTCTCCTTAAACCTGTCGCAAATATATTCAGTACTACTGAGGAAACGGCGGATCATATGAACCTCCTTTGATATTGTTTAAATTATTACAAAAAATGTTTAAACCAATAAAAAACATTGCTACGTTCGTATCCTTTAGATAAGTAAGAAGTAACTTTAAACTATTTAAATTTTTTTAAAAGCTTATTCGCTTATTCGTTCACAAAAACATAAATATTTTTATTTCAATGTGAATCGACCATACTACTCCCCATGTCTACTGTCGAAGTAGACATGGGGAGAAATTGGCTGTGCCACAAATTAATCTGGAATTGTATAGAAAAAACACCTTTTGTATGGCCATGAAGGTTTATAATACTCGTAATTTACCAAAAACATTTAAAGATCTTCCTAAAAGTAACAGTTTTAAAAATCGACTTTATGTACTACTTTGGAGAAATGTATTATTATATTAATGATTATTTGCGTGAAACATTATAATTAATAAATATATATATTTTTTTTAAATGTTTTTTATCTAGGTTAATTGGTGTGGGTATAAATGTTGTGTCGTCCTATCGAATTAGTAATTACTGTAATGATAGAATAATGATATGGAATAAATAAATAAATAATAATAATTAGATAACGTAATAATAATGTGATAATTTAGTGATTAAATAATATATGAATTGACTATATGACTCATAATGTAATTGTAACTTCTAATCTATCTTTTAAGACAAATTTGCACGCCATTATGTGTGGCAGAATATGCGAACCTTCGATTGTACCACCATAACATTTATGTTATGGTACAAATAAATTATTATTATTAGTTATAAAAACTGTTACCATGGATATAATTACTATAAAGTGTTGTAGTCCAAATGCATCACTCTTTCATAATCTCGCCCAGCGAACTAATGATAATACCTGTACTATCACTATGTAATCAATTTAAAACCATTTGAACATGAAACAAAGCCTTGTTTTAATAGCGTTTCAGTACTAATCACGCAATTGTTTCCTCGTAAATAAATTAATGATTCATTCATTGTAAAGGCTTTCACAGTTCGTCGTTAAATATTTGTGTTACAATTAGGAATTAGATGCGGTATGGTTTTTATGATACTGAGTTTTGGAGTCCCGCAGCTCATTAGAGATTGGGGCAGACATATTCTCGTTTCTGTGTCTATCGACATGTGTGTAAACCATTCAACCACAGATGCAATAATTTTGATATCGATTTTTTTGCTCATTTAAGTCAATTCATGTCAGCTGAAGTTCATTTAATGAGGTTACGAGGTAACAGTTATTTCTAAGTAGATGTAATAAGGGTGGAATGCATAAGTAATATTCTTACATAACTTTTTTGCTTAAACACAACACAACTTATTACAACTGAGATGTTATTGCTTAAGTACTAACTCAAGTTATACTATCAATAAAGCTTTTTATAAATTTGACGACTATTTAAATGATCCTAATCCTTGGGATTGATTTGCTCCAGGTCAAACAATTTGTATGAATCAAAACTTGGCGATTAAAAAGAGTGGCGGAGAGTTTCTTTCCAGTTGTTCTTGCGCCCTCCACGTCCTTAAATTTAGAATCAACTTAACGTCTTTTCTATTGACGCTCAAGAAAAATTAAATAAACTTTTTTTAAATTATACATTAATACTAGTGGACCCCACAGACGTTGTCCTGCATGATATTTCAACCGATTAAGATATTAAACAAAGTATGAAAGTACCGACTGCAGCGCCATCTGTCGGGCTGATTTGTGAATCTAAACCATTCCCAGATCCCCTTGAACACACACAAAAAATTTCATCAAAATTGGTCCAGTCGTTTAGGAGGAGTTCAGTCACATACACACGCACAGAAGAAATATATATATTAAGATATAATATTTTGATAAAAATCAATGATAAAAATATTTAATTATCTTAGGGATAACAGCGTAATTTTTGTTTATTTCTTATAAGATAAAATTTAAATGCAAATGTTTAAAATTTTGATCTGTTCGATTAAAATTTCAAGTGTGCTTGGTTACCTATATCAAAAAAGTTATTTTAAGTTTGAGTTTGAGTTTAACTACTTAATTAGTTTCATTTCACAAAAATATTAAGTTTCTTAATATTATCCACAAACAAGTCTTCTACATCTCGCTTAAAAGCTTGCGGGCTTAGTATACAATAAATTTTGTTTATCAGATATCCCGGTCTGGTGCCCGGCGCGTGGTGCTCCAAGAAGCGACGCCGGCAATGGCCGGCCGTTTCCGCTGCGAGGTATCCGCCGACGCGCCCACCTTTCACACGGAAATACGTTCCGCACCACTGGAAGTTGTTGGTAAATATTAGACTAAACTTAGTACATTTATATGCTACTTTTAATGGTCCAGTGAATAGGCTATCTCGCTCTTACAACTTAATTAGAAACATTGATGAAAATTGTCTACCAACTTACCGTAACTTTGTTTTGCAGGCTGCAATGTGATTTAAGTTTTCATTAGGTTTTGTTTATTACTGTTATTGTTATTTTTTATCTTTTTAGTTTTAGTTATTATTGATTTTCATTTTTTTTTTGTGGTTGTTTGTGTAATTTTTTCCTTTGATAGATTTCTTATGTTCCAATGTAATTGATGTTTATGTTTGTTAAATTTATGATATCATATTTTCTTGTATTTTTAGGCATAAACTTTGTTTTAGAATGTATAATTAAATATTTAATACCGTTTATTTAGTTTTGATCACATCATTTATAGATTTGTTTGAATTGCTGTACCGACTCCTAGTTCTGTACTACCAAAGCATGATTTTGTGATAAATATCATACAATCTGAAATTGCATACAAAAATGTTGGGTTCGGTATCGCTGCTAGAAGTCATAGAGGCGTTGGTCTTAGCATATTTAGTTCCTAAAATTGATTTCCGAGGTACAAGGAGACATGTTTTACTTCTGTACTGGCTATTGTTAAGGTTGGTAGATAAACAGTTCCTGACTAATACAACCTAACAATAAATTACTTAATTATACTTTTGTCAGATTTATTTATTTACAAAAGCAAGCCAACGCTCGGAACACTGATGACATTGGTACTTAAGAAAAATAAACAGATGATATTTTAATGTGACAAAGACTTATAGGCAAACATAACACGAATAGAAAAAAAACATAAGTTATAAAAACAAAAGGAACATTCTTGTTTGTAAGCTATGAATTTTTAAAATAATATTCTCTTCATATTGTCGTTGTATAGTTGAATGATTTCTGTGTTATAAATAAATATGAGGGCACAAAGAAGTTATTTATTACGGTCTAATAATAAAACTAGTGGAAAATATTGAAAATCGATCTAAATGTTCAGAAAAATAACAGGTTGAAAAAAGCTTTTTATCAAAGTGCTTATTCTCATGTAAACTTGATTTATGTTGATCAGAGTAGTACATCAAATTACGTAATGTTTTAAACAAATTATAATCTAATATAATATATAAAATTCTCGTGTCACAATGTTCGTTCCCATACTCCTCCGAAACGGCTTGGCCGATTTTTATCAAATTTTATATGCATATTCAGTAGGTCTGAGAATCGGCTACTATCTATCCTTCAACCCCCTTAGTGATAAGGGGTGTCCACCCCAAAAAAAATATATTTTTGAATTTTTTTTTGTTTTTATTTTTTACGATACAGTTGTATTTATTAAACTGATAATGTTTCCTAGAAATAATATACATGGCAAAACGTTAACGGTAACGGCATGGTATATAAAAAGAGCAATTTTCAGAACACAACATCATACAAAGTTTGACAACTGATCCAAGGGTGCACAGATCACCATTAAGCTCCCGACTGAATCAATGGCTAAACTTGATTATTTACTCAAAAAACGGTGCGAAAGGGTTAGATTTCTGTTCAAATAATAGTTATTTCTGATTGAGGCACTTAAAGATTATCTATGACAAATAGTGGTTGGTATATGCCTGTGGTAGTCACATTAAATTTTTGCCTGTACCGATGCAGTAGCTGTACCAGTCACAAAGAGACAGTACTGAACCACTACTACCACTTCGCCCACTTCTGCGTTCTAATGTCATAGCCAGTACCAACAGTAAACTGCTGAGGTTTATTCGTATCGAAGGAAAACTAAACTACGAAGTTTTTTTATGGGACAGGAGGCAATTGAGTATGCTTTGATAAAGTGATTGAAGTGCAACGTAGTGAGCCGACCTTTTAGGGAATGGTAAAAAAAATGTCAATGGTTGACTTCTTGACAAGAGATTTAGCAAAACACTTCATACTGTTGATAATCCTTTATTCGAATACACATTTTATCCATTTATGATAATAAATTCATTCAATTGCTAAATCCCTGTTATTGCAATAATTAGAACAAATATTTAACTATGACAAACATGAAATAGCACACTAAACGCATTACGGAAATTATGTAAATTACACTCTCCGAAACCCTATTTTGCTTATAAACGTGTCATTTCAAAGCTCTAATAAATATAATTTCGCTCTTAAATGCGACGAAATTGTACATTTATTCGTATAATATAGGTAATGGATTTGTTTACTTCCATGATGCAAATGCCAAATGCACGTAGGTAAATTAATTATGTAGCTGTTCACATATTTTGCAGGTATAAGTTTGTTGTGTAGTATATATATATTTCTACTTATAAGATGATGAAATTGCTCATTTTAAATTAGTACATGGTATAATCTTAGTGATTGTAACAACAACATATTGGTTAAATCGCAGAAGAACAAAAACTGTTTTGACTGCACGATATTAAAAAAATATTCATGACAGGCCACTTCAGGTTAAGTGTTTATCATGCCTTTCCCATTAGGAATAAATTAATATCATCATTAGTGTTTTCAAACTAAAACACCTATTGAAATTATAATACGTCAAACGTGGCGTTTCTCTTTTTTTTAATGAATATGCAGTTTTATCTATTGCAATTTATCGTAACACTTGTTAGCTAAAGGACTTTTGCTACAATATGTGATATTTAAAGTATATATTTGTATATGTAAATTTATATGAGATGTAATCAAGCTTTAAACACTTTACCCCACAGCCTATATATTTCTTACAAATATTTTTCAAAAATTTCTCAGTTACTATAAACAACATGAATACAAAAGAAATCATAAACCTTAAAACCACATCCATTCAATACAAAGCCAACAATGTTGTATAACTGTTGGGATCATCTCTCATTCTTACGGCATCCAAACCCCGATTACGGGCATCTCCTGAATCAACAATTCACCCAAATTTGAGGTAAACTGTACAAGGCATTGTTCATTCTAACGTAAATCTCGCTACCTCTGCAGTTACATCACAATACCATTGATTGTACTATCTTGTAAATTACCGATCCTTTTATTTTAAGGACCCGGGGATCTCGATAATGCAATCGTGATAAAGCTATTGTTTGATGATTTACATTTGAACGTTGGTATATCGTTCATGTCATGTGTCAAATGTCAATATTACTTGTTAAGTGAGCTAATTGTCAATACTAAGCGCCAAAAGAAATTCGTCCGCCATCTTGTAATATAATTTTGAATAAAGCTAAACTTGATATCGTAGTAAAATTGAATAATAAATAATGCCACCACAATTAATCTGGTGTTAGATTACCGTGACAGGTTTAGGTAGTATATTTTAGTGCATTTATGTGTTGTGTTGTTATCTTTTGTTGTGCAACAAGGTAAAGTAATACGTTTTTTATTTATGTGATTGTTTAATATATTTTATGTATACGCTTTCAACGTGATGTAGCGTACTGGAACCCAATGAAATTAATGATGATGAGGCAGAGACTCGTAGCGTAATCGAGTCACTGTTGACAGCACTTTCTTGCAAACGCTATGTTGTTTAATATTTTATTTTAAATTATTAGAATTCGTATACTTACAAATACGACAGTGCGAGTTATTGACAAATCGCGTACGATGTAGATTTTTTTAATGTATTGCTTACTAAATGAATACAATTCAAACGATGTACCTATGTTTATTCTTCTGTTTGTTACAAATTCGCTCGAAAAGTGCAGTTCAAGCTTATAATTTAAAAACCGAATGTTTGTGAACCCATTCTCAACTCTATCACGGAAGTAAACCTTTTTGGGGAAGAAAGTTACATATATCTAATTCTAAGAGGAATCGTATTAGGAGAAAACAAAACAAGATCTATAAACTCAATCAAAGTTTTGATGGTATTGAGTGGACTTCAAACCCGAAGCATAAATTTGTTATATAGTTTGGTCCTTTCATTCTATCGGTTTAACTAAGTGGCGATAGAGTGCGCATTTAAAGTTCCAATAAAGTAGAAGTATATGCGCTTATAAACTTAATAACTTCACCGTTTAATTAAATGTTTTACACGGTAATATTCCGACTTTAAAATTCCATTTAAACCTTCTTAAATTTATTATCACCATCTCGATGTCAGCGAGTAGAAAAGAAAACTGTATTAAAGACTTCTACTTCCACCGATACCTCTTTTGACTTCTGTTCTGTAGTCGTCATAGCAACCCGATACAATTATTTATCACCGGTTTAACTAAACCTTTAACTACATGATTTTATCACATAATTGTATGTTTCTGAGCTTTGTCAGAAAAATACCCCTACATCAAATTAACGCAACTATTTGACATTATAATTAAAGCTCGTTAAAATATAATTTAACGTCGGAATATTACTTTTTTAATTATAATATTCTTGACCATCGGAAGGATGTTTAATTTAGAAAACAAATCAATAGAAAATGAACACGTCCGTCGCGTCCAAGCACCCGAATGGAAAAGAAGGTAGGTAGGACTAAGGAGGTACCTACTACCTAGTCAGCACGCAATATCCCGTCCCGTAAAAATGACATCAAGCGATGTCGAATAGTGACGGTTCTGACAAATAGTAAACTTTACAGAGTAGCCATTTCTAAATAATATAATCATCTTAGTTTTTGTCATAACTATTTAATTCATATTCTGTTATTATGAAATATTGGCATACAAGCAAACAAAAGGGTTGGTTTTGAAACAAAATAAAAATAATAACATTAAATTACACAGTTTTCTAGAAAAAATCACATATTTCCATCAAACCCGTCACTTTACCGACTGATTAATTTAAAATTTAAAACACATGGATTTTTTTATTTAGCCGTAATATTTAGTCAATGTAGTATCCAAATATGATAAAAAGTGGATTTTGTTTTTTTTTCAAATCCGACATTGTTCCACGGTCATGTCGAAATGTTCCTTAAGACATTAAAAAAACGTTAATAAATGCTTTTATTAAATATACTTTTGCAGTAAAACAACTTGTCTGGTTGTATATTTGTTGAAAAGTTGTACATTAAGCTTTGCCGTGCAGTATTTTCGATACTTGAACAATAAACCAAATGGCAACGAAAGCGTACGTGCCAAACACAACTTGGATATGTATTACTTCAATTGTTGCTATAAAAATTCACCTGCCAATAAAAATTGCAGCATTGTTCGTTTATTAAAATATTTTCGTAGATAATAAAGTGCGAGGTGTTTTCACAGTATTCTATCTATTAAAAAAAATTCAAAATTAGACATATTTACCGATGAAACAGTGTTTTAGGTAGGCACAGGTAGGTAACATAATAAAACAAGTAAACAAACACCACCTTTGCCGTTATGCCGTTTCTTTGAAGTTAAGTGTCTTTTTAAAAAATCATAATTTGCGACTATGGCATGGAATAATTTTGAAAATAAATAATCTCTATATATATAAAATTTATATACAAACATACATTAGCCTCCAAGATAATTCATGTTTGTTTGATAAAGTAATCCTCTTAAGACTCTGGTATCTAGTTATGTGTACCCAATTATCCAAACGATTCTTCGCCCTATCTAACCGTAAATTCTGGAATCTTACCTCAATATTTATCGTATCAACATATGATTCTCTTGATATGATTTTCTAAGCGTTTGATCTCGGTATTTTATTAATAGCGGTGTTAGTTTAGCTGAATTATGAATCCAGATGTCGTACAAACCTGGGCACTATCGATGTTTCGGTAAGAAAAACATCATGAGCTTAGAAAATTTTAATAGGTAACAGCGATTTGGTTATTATAAATTCACAATGATAATAAAATAAATATTGGAAGATTAGATACAAAAGATGTAGCGCCACTGAATTATGATTAAAACGTAAATAAGAAACTAAGTAAGAAACTAAAGTAAGAAACTTTGCAAGCAAATTTGCACGATCTAATAAAACACTATTTTGACCGGATTGAAGTTATGTATTATTATAAATTTACAACTATTTAACATAATTTTAAATTTATCCGACGTTTCGACGTTTTCGACGAATACATAACTTCAATCCGGTCAAAATAGTGTTTTATTAAATGAATAAAAGTTATGTTAATCAAAGACAATACTATTTGCACGATCTTTTAGCAAGTCGGTTGCCTGATAAATTTGAGTAGAAACAGTGCCCTTCATTTCCAGCCTTTGTCTTTTTTACCTGTTTTTTTTAGTTAATAAAGTGTGTATTATTATTACGTTAGAGCCAATATAGATAAACCACTTCAAAGAATACATAAACAGACTGCAAAAACTGTTATTGGTCACTACTCTTATAATTTCATACATTTTTCTATAACGAATTAAGTTTGATGTTATTTACTTACTAGATCGTATTTTCAATAATTTGTCTAGGACAATTCATCTTATTGAAAAATATGTTGAAAGCATTTGCGTCATATAAATATAGAGAAATACAATTTTCCATTGTGGTAAATGTGTAAAACCTGAAAATACGAAAAATGCTTTTACGTCCTCAGCAGTAATGTACGGGGAAAGTTAAGACGCAGGTGGAGTTTCAATTTAGCACTAACTTTTATTAAGTTTCATACATTTCTGCCGATAAAAATTGTCTTCGTTTTACGAACTTGCAAATTTATGGTAACACTGGCTTGTAAAGTGGATACAGTAAATTGATTTCGGGGGATTTTTATATTTCAGAGCAGGGAAAGCAGGTGAAAATGTGAAAGTTACGAAAACCACGCCGCGTTTCGTTTAATTGTGATTGGTCCAATTCATCGCTCATTACTTTTTTATTACATATTTATTGCATAATAATCATAATTTGTCCTGAAATACATAAGATAAATATGATTAAGACAAACAGTTACGTCGAAAAACTATTTAATGTACTCTTAACTACAGTAGCCTTTTGTCTCTTTCCGACAAATTTTATTTACGCAATATGAAAAGATACGGAGGATTACTTTAGTTAAATCGATAAGTTTAAATATATTCACATAATGTCATGTTAATATGTTTATATGAGTTTCTAATTCAATAGCAATACAATTTATAATTCGAAATAACATCCGAGCGGTCTCTCGCTGATCATAATCACTGCATCTAAACGTCGTTTTATATTCGCGTTTATGTCTGATAGAGTAACTTGATATTGTATACTATATATATATTTTTTTTTTCTAATAATTTTTATACAATTTATTAATCACTATACTGAATTCAGTCCACGCTTTATATTATTCTATATATACGAAGGAGATATAGGTATCTAAAAAGCCAGCAAATCGATAACAGATTAGATTGCTCAGCTACCGGAATATAGAATTGCTCTCATATAGAGTGCCAACACTATTCTGTATTTATAACATCGGTTTTTATATGGTAGGCATACAGTTTCTGTTAGTAATATGACATGTTTTTGTATTGGATGCCTTTATCCCAGCAGTTGATAGCATAAATGCTTCATTGGTTAGCTGGTTTGACACAATGAGGATATGAGGTCTAGGGTTTAATAGTATGGGGCTGAAAAATAAATCGCGTAATTTATAATAGAACCTAGTGTTAAGTAAGATAACCACGAAAGCGTATTTACTTTGCAAGCCGTAGAATGTATTCAAACAATAACACTTGTAAAATGACATGTTCATTGATATTAAATAAGCAAATGTTTACAGAAACCCCAGAATGGGGTCCCAAACTGGTGTCGGATCGGTCGTGGTACGGCGTGGGATCAACGTTGCGTGCGACCTGTGCGTCACCACAAGCGCATCCACCCGCTAACCTGACATTCGCACTGAATGGACGAGAGGTAAGGGTACGATTTAGAGTTCAGGCATAGCGTTACGCATCCAATATGCATTTGACATATCTGGGTGACGCGGGAGTTTTATGATAAGTCTTTTGAATCGCTGTATGAGACACAAGTGTCTGTCATTTATTTAACTAAAGTTTGTCAAAAAATGTAATGAAATTTAAAATAAAGTATCTAACTTCCGACCTAAGAGTGTTTAAAATTAATTTTAAAGATAAAATCTTAATACGAAATATAAGTTTCCATAATTAAACTAAATTCATGTCTCTAATTCAAGTTTCTCGACAAGACTTATAAATCTTTGTCGAAGTTCACATTTACTACGGTATAACCAATTGCAACAAATTATTTAGATTCTACCCTCAGGTTAATAAACAATAAACATATAACCCGAATAAACATCTAATGACAAACAACTTATCATAATGACACTGGAAGGAACTAGCGTTTAAGATACAGGCTAAGCCTAGTTTAAATGCTAGTAGTTAAACGCTCATAGAATTATATTATGTACAAGGTTAACCAAAATGAATAGTATCGCAACGATTCGTTGCCTGTTTATAAGGTTTAGAATGTAAGTACAAAATGTAATTGATTTATTATTTTTAAATAATAATATTCCGTTATTTTCAGCCTAGTGTTTCATGAGTTTTCTTCTCGCGCAATGCACATTGTAAGGGTATTGTAAGGAAACGAATAAATTTAATAATAACATCGCGTTAGGGACAGAAGGCTGATAATTAACTTGTCTATATAAATATACCAAAGAATCCGTTGCTTTCTGAGAATAAATATAAAAATTTACCAGGTATACGTTAACCTCAGAGCTGGCGCTGCTCTGCCACAATCTGTCAGCGTTATGAGTAGAGTCATAAGGCATCAATTTTATAATGTATTTCATAGTATAAAATGTATTTTAATATCTATTAAATCGCGATTTATTATTTTATTTACTCGACGATTCGACCAATACTGAATTAATCAATTCGCATGTATTAAAACTTTAATATTCAAATGTAGGTCTAGCACAAATAAACAATATAATAATTGTATGTTCATATAAATTGTGTATATATACGAGTAGTTTGCTTTAAGGTACCAACTATCAAAGCTTTGTATTTTAGCTATGTATTGCGGCCGCTCTCATGTCATGGGTATTTTTTGTGGCTAATTAACATCGACAGTTACTTTGAAGTAACAATATACACGAATGTGGTAATTGTCACTTTAGTACGGGAGGTAGCAACGTTTGAAAAAAAAGAATTTTAGGTCAGCTGATTTTGTGATATGTCTTCCTTCTTGCACTTCCGGTTAGAGTCTGGGCAATCTGGCTGGCGGTAGCGGTTGCGTTCATTAGTGCGCATCCTATCTGTCCAGGTAATAATCCTGGATTTTAAAAGGATTTTAAGACGCGTAATTTTTGATTTTTCCTTTTTAAATACGTCTACCTGACATACTTTTTTTATTGCCAGACATTTTTCACGTTGCTAACTATGTGCCAGACGCGATTTTAAGTTTTATTTTTATAAAAATTTCAAAGCATTTTAGAATGTCTGTAATTTTAATATTATGTTATTTAAATATAAGAAAAACTGAAAATGAATTTGCCAGACATTAATTCGATTGTTAAGTCTTGAATTAAAATGATAAAGTATTGCAGTATGATGAAGCATTGCATTTTAAGAAGCGTAATTTTTGATTTTTCCTTTTTAAATACCTCTACCTGACATACTTTTTTTATTGCCAGACATTTTTCACATTGCTAACTATGTGCCAGACGCGATTTTAAATTTTATTTTTATAAAATTTCAAAGCATTTTAGAATGTCTGTAATTTTAATATTATGTTATTTAAATATAAGAAAAACTGAAAATGAATTTGCCAGACATTCATTCGATTGTTAAGTCTTGAATTAAAATGATAAAGTATTGCAGTATGATGAAGCATTGCATTTTAAGAAGCGTAATTTTTGATTTTTCCTTTTTAAATACGTCTACCTGACATACTTTTTTTATTGCCAGACATTTTTCACATTGCTAACTATGTGCCAGACGCGATTTTAAGTTTTATTGTTATAAAAATTTCAAAGCATTTTAGAATGTCTGTAATTTTAATATTATGTTATTTAAATATAAGAAAAACTGAAAATGAATTTGCCAGACATTAATTCGATTGTTAAGCCTTGAATTAAAATGATAAAGTATTGCAGTATGATGAAGCATTGCATTTTAAGAAGCGTAATTTTTGATTTTTCCTTTTTAAATACGTCTACCTGACATACTTTTTTTATTGCCAGACATTTTTCACGTTGCTAACTATGTGCCAGACGCGATTTTAAGTTTTATTTTTATAAAAATTTCAAAGCATTTTAGAATGTCTGTAATTTTAATATTATGTTATTTAAATATAAGAAAAACTGAAAATGAATTTGCCAGACATTAATTCGATTGTTAAGCCTTGAATTAAAATGTAAAAGCCATGAAAAGTATTGCAGTATAATGCTTGTAGTACGAGCATAAAAAGGAATATAAAATTAGATTAAAATTAATAATCAACACTTTATTTTAATTGTCCTAATTACTAAATGTAAGTTATGAATAATTAATATTAAGTTTTCAAGTTGTTTTAGCCTATAGTGACGTCACAAAAAAGATGAAAAAAAAACCCTGAAAAAAAACCAAAAAATAAAAAACCAGCCCTGTCTCAATCGGTCCTAACCAAATTCGGCCCCATAATTTCGCAGCTGAACTTAAAAATGTGCAATTTAAAGAAGCTTTGGTTAACTTTTTTATTGATCACTGGGGTAGTGAAGACATGTTGCCGTTCATTGGTAATAAAAACATTTACGTAAGTTTTAATAAATGTTATTCATACAAAGTGATAAATAACAAAGTAATTAAAACTATTGAAGAATCATTATCGTGTGAAGAACACGAAGAAGCTGATTCTAGGATAATTTTTCATATTTGCCAAATCGATTTTGACGCAGAAGTTGTTATACGCTGTTCTGATTCTGATATTTTAATTATACTTCTGGGAAATATGGATCACCTGAAAAAATCTTTGAAAATTTGGATAAATATGGGTGTTGGAAATCATCAGCGTTGCATAAACATCAATGAATTGTACCGAATTCTTGGTGACTCTTTATGCAAAGCTTTACCATGCTTCCACGCAATCACCGGATGTGATTACACGCCAGCTTTTTTTAGAAAAGGCAAAGTTAGGCCTTTTAAAATATTAGAAAATTCTGAGGAATACCAGTTAGCTTTTGATAATATAATTTCGGATGATAAAGAAGTACTTGAAACTACGTTTGTAACCCTGGAGAAATTTATTTGTCAAATGTATGGAGTTAAAAATTGTTCGATTGTTAATGATGTTCGATTTCATTTATTTTCAAGTACGTTTAAGTCAAAAAAATCAGATGAGAACTTTGACAAAAAATTTCGAAACTTTGACTCATCCAGTTTGCCACCCTGTAAAGTGGAATTGGAACAGCATTTATTGAGGGTTCGTTACGTGACGAAAATTTGGAGAAATGCTCACTCAAAACATCCAACATCTTTATCTCCAATGGCTTTTGGGTGGACCATTAACGGTGACAAATATGATTTTGTTTGGTTTTTGGGAGATCAATTACCATCCTCAGTTGCAGATATTATTGTTCAAAGTAAGTGTTAAATGGAACATTTATCAATAATAACTAAAATGTTTAATAACGAACAAGAAAAATTACACTGTTTATTTTTTTTCTGTTGCAGATGATAGAGTTTTAGAAGTTTTGAGAAGACGAAAGTTCCCAAGAAGATGATATGAATGACACCGACAAAGACAGCGACGATGATGATGATGATTATGAAGATGCCTCTTTTTTGTGACGTCACTATAGGCTAAAACAACTTGTAAAACTTAATATTAATTATTCATAACTTACATTTAGTAATTAGGACAATTTAAATAAAGTGTTGATTATTAATTTTAATCTAATTTTATATTTCTTTTTATGCTCGTACTACAAGCATTATACTGCAATACTTTTCATGACTTTTACATTTTAATTCAAGGCTTAACAATCGACTTAATGTCTGGCAAATTCATATTCAGTTTTTCTTATATTTAAATAACATAATATTAAAATTACAGACATTCTAAAATGCTTTGAAATTTTCATAAAAATAAAACTTAAAAACGCGTCTGGCACATAGTTAGCAATGTGAAAAATGTCTGGCAATAAAAAAAGTATGTCAGGTAGACGTATTTAAAAAGGAAAAATCAAAAATTACGCTTCTTAAAATGCAATGCTTCATCATACTGCAATACTTTATCATTTTAATTCAAGACTTAACAATCGAATTAATGTCTGGCAAATTCATTTTCAGTTTTTCTTATAATTAAATAACATAATATTAAAATTACAGACATTCTAAAATGCTTTGAAATTTTTATAAAAATAAAACTTAAAATCGCGTATGGCACATAGTTAGCAATGTGAAAAATGTCTACCAATAAAAAAAGTATGTCAGGTAGACGTATTTAAAAAGGAAAAATCAAAAATTACGCTTCTTAAAATGCAATGCTTCATCATACTGCAATACTTTATCATTTTAATTCAAGACTTAACAATCGAATTAATGTCTGGCAAATTCATTTTTAGTTTTTCTTATATTTAAATAACATAATATTTAAATAACATAATATTAAAATTACAGACATTCTAAAATGCTTTGAAATTTTTATAAAAATAAAACTTAAAATCGCGTCTGGCACATAGTTAGCAACGTGAAAAATGTCTGGCAATAAAAAAAGTATGTCAGGTAGACGTATTTAAAAAGGAAAAATCTAAAATTACGCTTCTTAAAATGCAATGCTTCATCATACTGCAATACTTTATCATTTTAATTCAAGGCTTAACAACCGAATTAATGTCTGGCAAATTCATTTTCAGTTTTTCTTATATTTAAATAACATAATATTAAAATTACAGACATTCTAAAATGCTTTGAAATTTTTATAAAAATAAAACTTAAAATCGCGTCTGGCACATAGTTAGCAACGTGAAAAATGTCTGGCAATAAAAAAGTATGTCAGGTAGAGGTATTTAAAAAGGAAAAATCAAAAATTACGCTTCTTAAAATGCAATGCTTCATCATACTGCAATACTTTATCATTTTAATTCAAGGCTTAACAATCGAATTAATGTCTGGCAAATTCATTTTTAGTTTTTCTTATATTTAAATAACATAATATTAAAATTACAGACATTCTAAAATGCTTTGAAATTTTTATAAAAATAAAACTTAAAATCGCGTCTGGCACATAGTTAGCAACGTGAAAAATGTCTGGCAATAAAAAAAGTATGTCAGGTAGACGTATTTAAAAAGGAAAAATCTAAAATTACGCTTCTTAAAATGCAATGCTTCATCATACTGCAATACTTTATCATTTTAATTCAAGGCTTAACAACCGAATTAATGTCTGGCAAATTCATTTTCAGTTTTTCTTATATTTAAATAACATAATATTAAAATTACAGACATTCTAAAATGCTTTGAAATTTTTATAAAAATAAAACTTAAAATCGCGTCTGGCACATAGTTAGCAACGTGAAAAATGTCTAGCAATAAAAAAAGTATGTCAGGTAGAGGTATTTAAAAAGGAAAAATCAAAAATTACGCTTCTTAAAATGCAATGCTTCATCATACTGCAATACTTTATCATTTTAATTCAAGGCTTAACAACCGAATTAATGTCTGGCAAATTCATTTTCAGTTTTTCTTATATTTAAATAACATAATATTAAAATTACAGACATTCTAAAATGCTTTGAAATTTTTATAAAAATAAAACTTAAAATCGCGTCTGGCACATAGTTAGCAACGTGAAAAATGTCTAGCAATAAAAAAAGTATGTCAGGTAGAGGTATTTAAAAAGGAAAAATCAAAAATTACGCTTCTTAAAATGCAATGCTTCATCATACTGCAATACTTTATCATTTTAATTCAAGGCTTAACAATCGAATTAATGTCTGGCAAATTCATTTTTAGTTTTTCTTATATTTAAATAACATAATATTACAATTACAGACATTCTAAAATGCTTTGAAATTTTTATAAAAATAAAACTTAAAATCGCGTCTGGCACATAGTTAGCAACGTAAAAAATGTCTGGCAATAAAAAAAGTATGTCAGGTAGACGTATTTAAAAAGGAAAAATCAAAAATTACGCTTCTTTAAATGCAATGCTTCATCATACTGCAATACTTTATCATTTTAATTCAAGACTTAACAATCGAATTAATGTCTGGCAAATTCATTTTCAGTTTTTCTTATATTTAAATAACATAATATTAAAATTACAGACATTCTAAAATGCTTTGAAATTTTTATAAAAATAAAACTTAAAATCGCGTCTGGCACATAGTTAGCAACGTGAAAAATGTCTGGCAATAAAAAAGTATGTCAGGTAGACGTATTTAAAAAGGAAAAATCAAAAATTACGCTTCTTAAAATGCAATGCTTCATCATACTGCAATACTTTATCATTTTAATTCAAGACTTAACAATCGAATTAATGTCTGGCAAATTCATTTTCAGTTTTTCTTATATTTAAATAACATAATATTAAAATTACAGACATTCTAAAATGCTTTGAAATTTTTATAAAAATAAAACTTAAAATCGCGTCTGGCACATAGTTAGCAACGTGAAAAATGTCTTGCAATAAAAAAAGTATGTCAGGTAGACGTATTTAAAAAGGAAAAATCAAAAATTACGCTTCTTAAAATGCTTTTAAAATCCAGGATTATTACCTGGACAGATAGGATGCGCACTAATGAACGCAACCGCTACCGCCAGCCAGATTGCCCAGACTCTAACCGGAAGTGCAAGAAGGAAGACATATCACAAAATCAGCTGACCTGAAATTCTTTCTCGAAAACGTTGCTACCTCCCGTACTACTTAATTAGTGCATATTAATAGTTCCAAAACCACACGTTACGTACAAAGTTACAAATTTAATTAAACAAACAAGAATATGTTGTACTATCATCAAAATAGTATTAAAATCGACTGGTGTCACCCCACTTTTTGGGTCTTTGGCCGCTGATTTTAGGCAGGTTTTGGGCCTGACATAATTTTCATTTAGACGTGCTAGTTTCATTACTGTTTTGAGCGAGTATTATTTGCGCAGAACGAAAATCTATTCGTGCTCAGTCAAGGTTAGAACGCACGACTTGAGGGTGTATATACGCACGCTTAGCCGCTGAGTTATGCTAGTATATTATCAATATTAATATCGATAACTTGGGGAGACGAAATTTGTACCACGCCGAAGCCATATTGGACCAGAATCGCGCCTGATAGGAAGCACTGAACACAGTTAAAGGATGCTTATACTAAGCATTACCGTGTATTAACGTGACCTAATAACTATTAAGTGTAAAATAAACAGATTGTAAAGCAATAAATTATGAACTAGTTTATTGTAATTAATATATTGTATCTTTTTTAGTAAAAATTTTAGAGACAGAAAAAGTCCCTGGACGCAATGGCAGGGGAGTAGAGTACTATAATAATAAAAAATAAATGTAAATTATCATTTTATAAATAAGTCAGGACAGAATCCATCCATGTTTTAACACCGTAAAACATTTGATATATTGTCATTCCAAGCGTATTGTTGCATTTTATTCGCAATAAAATTGAAAAATGTATCCTTTCAAAAGGCACAATATCTTTATATCAATGAACCTATTTCACTTTGACGGCACTATAGTTTTTGTGCCTTAAAATCATTAATCATGAAGCAACTCCCACATTAGCTTTTAGGGGCGTTATCTAATGTGTATTAGCAATCTCGAAATAGACGTCTTAATATTAGGCAGAAAAAAGGTAATAAATTATCCAGGCTTCACTTCAATAAAGTCGTCTAGGTAGTTTATCAAATACTACTGTGTATAGTATTTCATTTAAATTTGCCCATTTAAAGACGTTTTTCATGGCTTAACGTAGGGTTCGATTCCTGGCTAAAGTATTCCGGTAGGGTGGGAGGCAAAGATAGCTTAAATAGGACTATACAAAACGCACAAGAAACTTAATGTAAATGTTTTATACTTTTTAAATTAATGTATTAAAAATATTGTTTAACAACTCTTTGAACATTTGTTTTATTACCTTCGTGTTTTGATAACTGTTTTCCTTATCAGATCGACATGGAATCTTTCGTCCACGAACTACCAGAATGGTTCAAATGGGACCCGCCGACAAAGGCTGACACGACAACAACTCAACTACCAGACGAAGATTTTAACATAAACGACGAGAACGTGCAATATTTAGATGAATCGTACATAAACTTACATAAAGAGGAAATTCGAAGGCCTCCCAAGGAGACCAAGTTTGAAAGGTCGGGCCCGGATAACAGAATGCCGTCTGTTGGGGAAGTTTTGTTCGTAGTTCGACATGCAGCATTTGAAGGTGGCAGCCTTCGACTGACGTGTATAGCTAGTATATACAACCTGTATGCATCGAGGGCGGAACTCATCTTCGATATGGAACAGCCAGAAGTTGCGTCTGTGTTGGGCGTTCGGAATAATGCTAAAGGTGAGAGCGTAAAACGTGTAGCGAGCTTACAATGTTTATCTAATATATAAAATTCTCGCGTAACAATGTTCCTTCCCATACTCCTCGACCGATTCTTATGAAATTTTTGAAGTTGTACTTCTTTAGGCGCGTTATGAAAAATTGATGAGAGTGAAATTTTACGATTGCGCGCGCACCTATGACACAAAATTGGCAGTGTGATATAGCGTGCGCGAGCGAGATGGGAATAAGACAAACTACAAGTAAAAAGAAATAGAATATGCGTGAAGCTAACTTCACGCATATTCTAGCTTAGCAGCTTAACAAGAATTTTGAATGACCATGACAATTGACATCTGACAATGACATTTACCTTTTAAACAAATATAGGAGTTTTAATTATTGTTTAAAATTAATAATTATATACCTAGTTATTTTCATTATACAAAATATTTGTGAAATAATATAAAATATTTGTGAAAAAACTGTGCTAACCTTCCTGAGTGCTTCAATACAATTGAGGTTAACTATCCGTATGTATTATCGAGTATTATTGTTGATTAAAACTGAAACATGAACCATTATTCATTGCTTTTGTTTATTGCGTTTGTTACAGCAACTTTTTAGAAATATTCTACGACCCTATATATCAATAATTGAGAACAAAGATTTAAGCACGAATACTAATAAGGAGAAAATGAAGGCTTGGAGCGATATAATAGAGAAGTAAACATTTTAATAAGTACCTGCATCTCAAAAAAAAGACCACATTATTTAATCAAAACATCAGATTTAATCTAGCAAATATAAGGACAAGAGACAAAAAACAATTGATGAATCAGTGGAAGTGCACTAAATTGAATACAAAAAAAGAGTTGTCATCTTATCGCCGTGAAACATCAAAAACTGGAGGTGGAACAAAGCCACCATCACCTTCTCGAGACACAATGGTTTGAAGTAGATTTCAATGAATTTGATTGTGATGGTGTCGAGGTAGGAATGTTAATTATAAATATGATGTATGGTGATGTTCAAGGTTCAACCTTTCAAGCATAGGCATATGCTTACAACATTACTTTATTCCCCTACAGGGTAGTTAGAGATATTGTAATACCTCAAAACATCCATGTTGCACTTGTAGTACCGAAACTCTGTCCTGCCAGAAGTGAGCCCATTCCCACTTATAATGGACAGTGGGTATAATACACCTTAATACCTGAGTGCGAACCACTCACCATGATACTTAAATTAATAGATGTTATTTATATATTTCAGGTTATTACAAATAAAATCATTTTGGAAACAATTGATATCCCAAAAGCAAATAAAGCCAACAATGACAAGGTAATAAATCAGTTTTGACATAACTTGAATACTAAAAAAGCCAAACAAAGGTGTGCACAACAGTGACAACATAACTTAACAATTTCATTATTTTGTAGGATTAAAGAAAGGTTAAAGAAAATCATGTCGAACTGAACAACAAGAATCCCCAAACAACTCCAAAGAAACCTACAAGGAAGACACCGGTATTATATTTAAATTATCTCTATCTCTAAATAGAATAAAAGAAAGTTGCTATCCAGGTCTGTAGCATGTGCTACAAATTATATTATTAACACATTTATATAATTATATTAATATAAATGTGTTAAAAATTTATAATATGAATTATAAAAAAATTTAAGTTTTGCATGGACAGAGCTTAAATTAATATTCTCTTATTTGTTGCAGAAAGCAAGTAGTTTTGGAGAAGCCTCGTAGATGCACAACCAAGTAATGATTAATTTAAAATTACAAACCGAAATTCTGATGAAGACATTAGAGTCACTTAAAAATAAATAGTATAATGAAATAAAAATGTTTTAAAGATAAATAGTGTTTTATTTGTTTAATGTAAGAGAATAATAATAAATATTTATTTAATTAATTTTTCAAATGTATACTGAACTTTATTGACTTTAATGACTCCTTTTCCAGTCTTTGATTATTTAATTGTAATTAATTATTTGCATGCAATCAAAAACTATTTTTAATAATGCCAAAGAAGTATAACTTCTTACGCGCGTACATAAGTACACGCACCCTTTTTTTTATCCATATTCAGTAAGTCTGAGAATCGGCTGCTATATCTTTCAAATCCCGTAGTGATTAGATGTCCACGCCAAAAAGTTTGTTTTCATTTTTATATGATACAGCATATAAAAAAAAATATACAACCCCTAATTTTCACCCCTCTACGATCAACCCCTATTTTTTATGATTGTAGATAGTTATTTTTATTGAACTAAAAAAATGTTTCCTAGAAATAATATACATAGCAAAACAAAAGTTTGCCGGACAGCTAGTTTTAATAAATAAGTCTTCTTTCTGATATCAGCGCTACGAACTTTAAAAGAACAACCTAACTACTTAGATCAGTTATTTGAGTTCTTTACCTGCCTGCTTTTCGGAGTGCCATTACCAGCCACCTCATAATAAATTATTCACTCAATTCGAACAATTACTTTTGAAATCGATATTGATTTTACTAATACTCGTTACTATTAATCACCACATGTCACCGCGAACTTCGTTTCACCTTAATATAATTTTTTGACTTGTAACTTTTTAATAACTACTTACCTACCAACATTTGGAACATTTTGCTATGCTATCTACTGTTCGTGTTAAAAAAGAGAGTTCTAATAAAATTTCTTCTTGTTCTTCGTGATTGCAAAAGTAGTCGATTTGGTCCATCCGTCTTTTTGAGCCTCGAGTTCTGAGCTACATATTTTTCGATTTAATTTTATTTATATAGATAAATAAATAGAATGGTAATGGTTTTATTCCATATCTCACATCATGAATTATTAAACTACTATTTACGTTTTACGTTTGAAATAATTAAGTCTTGAAACGCATTTCACTGAAATTGTTTCGGCTTCGAAGTCTTGGAAATGTGTTTTAAACTTTCCAAAGTGTTTTGTAATTGTTAATTAAAGTATTGAGAATTCCACGAAAAACTACTTCTCAAGTATAAATGTGAATCACTGTATCATGAAGACACTTACACAATAAAATTTATGTATAGAGAATGCTACAACTGTGGGACATCTGCTGTTTAATAGTTTAAAAAAATATAAAGAAATTCATATACAAGATATTAGACACTTTGCGTAGTCTACCACTCTGTACTACCACAGACTATGGACATATTATACAGTACATACAACAGTTATTAGATATAGTATTGCCTTTTATTCACATAACCTATACACATTTAAAGAAAAAACTTTTTAACCGGATTAAAGCTATGTATTATTATAAATTTACAATTATTTAACATAATTTTAAATTTATCCGACATTTCGCGTGCTTTACAGCGTGCGTGGTCACGGTGACTGAAGACAAAAGGTGTTGTATGTCAAAAAGTATCACAGCTGTAGAAAAATAATATAAATTTAATATAATAAAATAATGTAAATTTATAATAATACATAACTTTAATCCAGTTAAAAAGTTTTTTCTTCAAAAGTTATTAGATATATTTATTGTTTCACTTAATGCCTGGATGAGCCATAGTTTTTACGACTCAATAAGAACTATTTTTAATGAAAACTCCTTTGTTTCAGAGTCATCAATCTCGCGCATTGTTCTGTTATCGATAGTAATTTTGCTCTACAACACTCGGTAGTTGGGTAAGGCCATTTAATCTTCATGTACAATTTACATATCTAACGTGGAGATAATTTAAATTAGAATTAGTACCAAATGGCCAAATTATATAAAACTTTTATGATTTTTGTTAGTATTTAATGTGAAATGTTTTTGTTATACAAATCTAATTGGTTTAACAGCATTATCTATGGAATTTTCAATTTTATAAAAATAGAGAAAAATGTAAACGAACCGCAAGCAACCAATGACAGTGCTCCGTTTTTCCGTTTGACCAATCACAATCAAACGAAACGCGCCTGCTTTTGTTTTACACTCATCCTCCAATTTTATTCACATATTGACATAGTCGATAAAATTTATTGGCCTTTAGTAATTCCAATAACATCATCTTTATATATTAATGATTATGAAATATTATAGAGGCCTTTTGGTGGTGTTGTATAGTAATTTCAAATATAATATTCTCCCATTTTATATCGAAAGACTAGGAATTGTGCGAGACTTAGGATTATCAAATTGTTAACAAAAGGAATGTCATCCTTAAGAAATTAACACGTTTTCAGTTGGAATGAGACGATGTTCTGTTCAACGCTTCGGAACTATAATTTATTGTAAAATTTGTTAATAAATTATTTTTATTGATTATTTTTTAGAGGATATCTTGCTGATTAGACCTGGGACTAGTGCTAGACAGGCTACTTCTAATTAATTTGCGATATTTGTTTTAAAATAAGTGTTGTTTGATAATTTGCTATTTTAAAAGAGTACCGAGAGTTTTTTAAGTCGGCTTTTTTTCTCGGCCTACACCCTTTGTCTTTTTGCCAATGAGTAGGGATGCCTACAGATTCAAATTTAATGACGTGGAATAAGTGATACATGTCTCTTATGTTCCATAATAAACATATTTTTTTTTAATTTTATTATTGTCTCGATTCTTTATCCAACCCACTATTTAGGCCTAGATTAAGTAGATCCAATATATCTTATAAGTATACTGACTAACCAAAATTTTAATGTAAAATATCTTTCAAAATATCGGTTAGAAAAGTAATATTAAAGACTGACTTTTAGTATTAATTTTGAGGTTATGTTTAGATGTTGACTTAGATATTTGTTTCTTAAATATGTAGAATATGTAAATGTACATCGATATATATGAATGTAAATAATCAAATTAAGCTTAAACCAAAATATTATATAAAATTTAAATTAGTTTTATGGTTCGCGATATCAAATTTAGTTAATTTTTCCATAGAGATATACATATATACTGCCAATTTATAATTTGTATAAAAATTACATTTAAAGTATCCAAATCAAAAGGCGGATGTAATGCTGTCTTGAAATATCTATCGTTTATCAACCTTGCAAGAGACAATTGCTGTATTTCTGTATTTTGTTTGAATTTTCGCTATTTTCTGAAATCTAAGTCGAATTGGTTCGGAAATAGTACAGTGGGTAGCTGGTTCCACACAATGATGTTGCGCGGAATTTCGTATTCTGCCTCGACGTCCGATGATGAAACTCAGCTGCAGGTATTAATCCGAACAACTCCTCTGAACAATCTCCATGGTAAATGCGGTAGAAGAAGTAGATAGACCCCACATTTCTACGTGACGCAAAGGGATCAGTGAATGTGATTGGTCGTCGACGATTGCCAGTGCCTTTTACACAAACTTCTTGCTTTTTGACGTGACAACGTCTTATAATTCGATGGAGCCGGCTGCACGCACGAAAAACATGCGGCGTTACCTCACTATGAGGCGTTCCATTTAAGGCTTAAAGTGCAAGCGAGAGCGCGGAACGAGCGACAAGGAGTCACAATCGGCCTCCGCGTTCGGCAGCGTTCGACATCTGTCTGTCAAAATATCTATCAAACAAATAAAATTAAAATTTTCATTTAAAAAATGCAACCATTCCATCAATATTTTCTTATGACGTCACGATCAACTACGTCAGTTAACCGATTTTTTCTCATTAATAGAAGTTTCTGACGACACGAAAGCGTGTATTAATTTGATTAGGTTTCTTTACGAACATAGTTTTCACCTAATTTTAAATAACGGTGGTTTGTTAAGTTTTCCATACTAAAATGTATTTAAATCAATTAACTATCCGATATTATTGTTTGTGCTAAGGCTACTGTAGGTATAAAGAAGGTATACTGCCCTGTCATGGGTTAATTAAGTTTTGTCAAACAAATTTGTTTCTTGAAACGTATTACGCCAGCGGAAATCCACTTTGCTAAATAAAATTCTTTATCCGCGGTCTTTGTAAAATACGTTGGCACTAAAAAAATTATGTATTTATGACAATATAAAAAGTATGTTCTCTCTGTTGTGTTACATTTAAAGAAAGATATTTTCAAGTAATTTAAGATTGTAAATATTTATAATTAAGAGAAAGAAAATAAAATTTGTTGAAAGTACACCCGTGTTTTATTTATTTGCTAATTCTACGTTTAAAAAAGCTTTTACTATGCAAAAGAATGCAGTCACGTTTAATTTTAAATTTATAATTAAACCCATTTTTATTACTCGCGTTAATTAAAACTACTGACCTGATAATAGAAATTCTAATCTCGTATACAATATTTTATATGAAATCTATCTAAAATAAATAAAATCAGTTTGTTTCTGGAACAATGCAACATACACTCAAAAATTCAAATTCGCATTTATTGCTATAGAAAAAATACAAGTAGAAATTATCAACTTTTTTTTAATGCGGCTGTTGATATATTTTCAAGCTTCATATTTTATTAAATTATTTACAAACCTAAAACAATAAGGTTTATTTAAATGTTTTTATTTGGAAGTAGTAGTTGCGTAAAGCTAAGGCAATATTATAATAATACCTCACAAGTTAAGAAAATGAAACTGCTAAAATTTTATAGGAAAGACCAGTACAAACGTGTTCCGGTCCGGTGGTGGAGAGGCTGGCTATCTGTCACTCAGGTCTCCTGTTACAGAGACCAGTCTCTCACATACACTTCCAAATGTTATCATCTTAGATTAATATAACCTTGTATAATTCAATAATAACCTTGTATGTCTATTGTATATGTGAGGGAAGAAATAAAGATTATTATTATTAAACTGACGTCACTGTCACACTATATACCAGATTTAATTTACATTGATTAAATAAATAACAATACCTACTTTATTGATAGTACCAACAGACTACAACATAGGAGCCAAAGAAAAAAGAAAAACTTATTAAATTGCATTTAATTAAAACAGAGCTCACTTGTTCGTGAAATATCCAAGCGAGTCTCATACCAATAGCTGTTATAGGTGCTATATGATTAGGCGCTAAAAGTACATACATTCAACAATGTAATGCTTTTCCAATAACAGGCCTCTCTATAATAATCTCTATAATCTAATATACGAGTATATAAAATTCTCGTGACGCGGTGTTTGTGGTTAAACTCCTCCGAAACGGCTTGACCGATTCTCATGAAATTTTGTGTGCATATTGGGTATGTCTGAGAATCGAAACCCCTAATTTTTATTTTTAGATAAATTTATATTTTTTTATATTTTTATGATACAGCATTAAAAAATACATACATATTTTCAACCCTCTACGATCAACGCCTATTTTTTATTATAAATGATAAACATGGCAAAACGGCGTTTGCCGGATCAGCTAGTAATAATATAATAATTCACCTCTTAACCAAAACTAATAAAGTGCTACAGTATTTCTACGTCAACTACGACCACAGGACACCACTAATAGATAGACTCCAAGAATTTATTAAAAAAATATGGTGACGGTTTACCATTTTTATTGATGGTCTCAAGTCGAGTCGTTACGTCGTTCAGGTTCTAACAAAAACTAGAAATTAAATAAACAAAATCAAAAGAAATATAATATACACAAAAGGATATTTGCAAACAAAAATAATTTTCTATTGATACAGTCTGGGAAAGCAGTCATCAATCATATTAAAAGATAAGCCGACGTCTTAGGAAAAACATCATAGAGAACGACGGTATATGAAATTAATATCGAATTTATCACTATAAGTGGTTTATATTATATTAAGGGATATTATAAGATATATTTTATAACCTAAATGGATGATCAATATACTAAAATATATTCAGAATGCAATTAGCAAGATTGATTATTACTTTATGCATATTTTTGCTTTGTGTGAGCTATATGTGTATAACGTCATTCTTTATAATGAATAACCCTGTATAACATAGTTATATTTGTATGGTTTAATACAAACACATACATTAATACACTCTTTTTAACGCAACACTCTATATTACGAAGAAATATTTTCATATTTAGACATCAACAACATACTTAAGTGTAATTGTTTTTTATAATCAGCTTACAAAACCTTTTGAGGTGCCGAAATTTCTAAGAAAGACACCTGAGGTTATAAACGGCCGTCTCGCCTTTGTTATTGTTAATTGCATTAACACGAATTACGAAGTCCAAAGCTGAAGGTTTCAAAAAAACCAAATGTTTTAAACTAATATATTTAAAAATAAAATTACAATTTAAATTATAATAAGAATTACAGCTAAACAACCCGAAGTAAGGAAATTTAATGCACATTAAATATAGAAACAATAAGGCTCCAAGAGACAACAATTGCTGACACCATGTAAAGGTGCGCTTATACGAGGGCAATAATTGCTCGGCGACACGAATGGACCGATCTGGAGCAATTAATGGAGCAATTTCAATAAATTCAATAAATTTCAATAAATTATTTCGGCGATATTGCTTCTAATTGCTCCAGATATTTCATATCGCTCAATGTCGCAGATACGAATTGACGAATATCCAATGGACTTGGAAATTCCTAGCAATTTTTGTATATCATTCGCACTTGTTTGTTTTGCGGCTTGCCGTCTTGCTTCCGCGGGGAGAGCGAGAGGTCTAAATAATAATACTTTCTAATTACTTTATTCAAAAGTAATTCAAAGTCTGTTCGTGACATTCTAGTAAAGTTTTTGAATAATATATCATCTAATTGTT